AAAAAAAAAAAAAAAAAGATTTCGGATCCAGTAAGACATTTTATGGTTGATGAGGGGAAAACTTAAATCTCTACTTAAACACCACTCTCTTTCTTCCTTTCTGCAGAGAAGATGGGATTACTTCTCACTTGCATGAAGAATAAACAAATCCGCCACATTGGGCGGGAGCATCGGGTGTCCTCACGGCGGTGCGGAATCTTCGGTGCGCGATGGTGTGTAGACCCTGAGTTGGCAAAGGAGTTCCTAGGGCGCATTTGGCACGTGGGCACTCCAAGTCCATTGGACACGCTCGCAAATGTGACTTCCCAGAGGTCCAAGGTTGAGGCGGTGTTTCTGTCATTTTATTTCAACTGCGTCACGCGGAAGTTAACTTCCAGGAAGCAGCCACCCGCATGGGAAGGCTGCCGGGCAGGGGGCAGCAGGGAGCTGTCGCCCTGGCCCGTGGAGCTGGCAGGCGGGACGGAGATGCTGGGTTTCTGCGGCTGCAGCCTGCTCTCTGGGCCCTCACTGCCTGCACCCAGAGGTGGCTTTCTGGTGCCCCGGATGCAGCTAAGGGTGCGTGTTCCCGGGGACGTGGCTAAGGCTGCGCGTTCCTAAAGCAGGCTTCCCGCAGCGGCCTCCCCAGGCCTCACCTTCCTGCCCCGGGTAGGGGACGTAGCTCTACAGAAGGCCTTCCAGACTCATTCTTGGAGCCTGGGGCACGGACCACTCCTCCCTTGGACACTGATGGCAGCACACAATTCTTTGCAGGAGATCTCTTTCTGCTTAAGATAGCTAGTGGGGCGCCTGGGTGGCTCAGTCGGTTGAGCGCCGGACTTTGGCTCAGGTCGTGATCTCATGGTTGGTGAGTTCGAGCCCTGCGTTGAGCTCTGTGCTGACTGCTCAGCTCCTGGAGCCTGCCTCAATTCTCTCTCTCTCTCTCCCTCTCTCTCGGCCTGTCCCTGCTTACTCTCTGTCTCTTAAAAAGAAACATTAAAGGAGCGCCTGGATGGCTCAGTCGGTTGGGCGTCCGACTTCGGCTCAGGTCACGATCTCACGGTCTGTGAGTTCGAGCCCCACGTCAGGTTCTGTGCTGACAGCTGGAGCCTGCTTCAGATTCTTGCTCTCTCTCTCTCTCTCTGCCCCTCCCCTGCTCTCACTCTGTCTCTCTCTCTCTTAAAAATAAATAAACATTAAAAAAATATATAAATAAAATAAAATAAATTAAATAGCCAGTGATTCCTGCTGCTTGCGTGTTGACGTGGCGTGGCTTTGGAGGCAGGAGCACACGCTACTCCCGAACCCGGTCCCCAAGCTGGTTCCCTGCTCACCCACCTGACTTCTGCCAACGACAGCGCATTCTCCCCACCAGCCCATGCTTCCCCTGCTCCCTTGCTCCTGCCTCTGCTTCCCTTCCTTGCACCTCATCACAGCAAGGGTGCACCCCTGCATCGGCTGACTTACAGAGCCCCACACTCCACCTGTTCCACATCCCTCACTGCTCTACACGCTAGTGCTCTTAAAGAGCTTCTTTTTTTTTTTTTAAAGCAAGTCACTGTCTTGGCCTAAATACTGTCACTACAGTAACCTACAAGACAAAGCCCTGCTACCATAGAAGGAGACTCACAGCCTCTTCTCCACCCCTCGCGCAGCCTTCTGGAAGCCCTTTGGAAGCTTAATATCAATTAGAACATTAAGTCAACCCTCAAACTCCCAATCATGCCTTGGATGATGTCACCTTTCATTCGAGACGTTTCCCTCCTGCCCATAACTTCGTCCAAATGCTGCTGCCTTTGACTCTGTGCCCCAGTCCCCCACCCCGCCGGAGAGGAGAGGGCTGTACCTGGCCCAGAACGGCGCCCTGCCCCATACCTCCGAGCCCTGCGCTACATGCTTCGTCTTGAGCCACTCCACACTCTTCAACAGGTAGGGCGCGGCCCCTCAGAACCACACAGCAGCACTGTCTTCCCCAGTGCACATCGCAAAGTGACTCCCAAGGCTATAATCTGTGATGGCGCGAGGGGAGCAGGTACTTGGGGATGATGGATGGAACTATAGCTCCGGCCATCAGACCTGGAAGATGGTGGCAAATACCTTATGTCTAGTACCCAGCTGGTCGTGCCTTTCCTGTGTGCTTAAAAATATTTTCTTCGCCCGTGTTTCAGATTTTCCGCCCAAGAAGCGGGCGTACGTATATTGTCTCACCGAAAAGGAATCCTTGAAGTGCGGTGTTATTCATAAAGCACTCTGTTTCTCATTGATAAATAGCAACAGGGAGAGGACAGGGTAATCTTCTTTATGAAGTATGTTTAAGTCACAGATCTAAAATTTGGGAAAGGCGAAAGGAGTTTGATAAATTTCAAACTTGACAAACATGATCTATCGTCTTTGAACCCAAGTGGTACTAATTTAGCAAAGAAGACCAAAAAAAAAAAAAAAAATCTTTGTTCCTGCCAGAGTTTATGTTTTTAATTCACTTATCTAAAAGTCTTTCCTATTCGTTTGGAAGGGAAATTCCTGTTTTGCACCAGGTTTGATGATGCATCTGTATGTTCTAGGAGGAGAATGCACAATTTCCTCACACCAGCGTCTCCCCAGCACTAAGGGCTCACGTCAGGGCCTCGCCTTGCCCCCGCTTCGGCTCACTGAACCAACCGTGCAGACTGAGCATGTGTTCAGGCGGGGCACTGCTCTGGGATGTGGACGTGCTGGGGCTGCTCCCCTGGCCTGGCACACACCTCCCAAGCCAGGACACTCTGCACTGTGCGTGACACTCGGGGAACAGAGAGACACCGCAGGGTCAGAGGCAGGAATCTCACCGGGTGTCCGGGGATGATTCACAAGAGCGAG